GCGTTGCTTAAGAGAAGCATCCTTGTGACATGAGTTTCCGTTAGCGAGGCCCAAGTTTGCAATTTCAAAAGGTTGACCTTTTGTTTCCCTGCGATCCTTTGATTTCCCATTGGAAATGCATTTGAGGGATGCTTGATCGTGGTTGGACCCCCTACGGATGATATTTTGGAGCTTCTAACCTCCACATGATACACGTAGTTTCAGTGTACACGTCCCCTGTGAATCCGGGATGACACATCGCATGGACATTATTTTGCCTCGCTTTGGCTCAAGCTGCAGTTCACAGATCATTGCCTTCAGGCAAGTCCCCTCGGACTTTGGTGTCATTCGCATCCCGCCGTGTGTATGTCAAGGCCGGCAATGGCCGTGCATGGATGACTGGGCCTTGATTGGTCGTGGAAAGAGGCTGAGGTGCATGGGTTCATCCGGCTATTTCAACTCGGTGGCGGAGCTTGTGTGCGATCTCGCAGCCGTCGTTGCGGTTACAGTATTCATTTCTGCTATGATCGGTGTCTGTCCTGATGTATTCATTACATGCAGCGTAGCAGCACCGGTTACTGCAGCCGCGCACAGGTGAATTTGGGCTGGTGTGAGACAACCACAGTCCGACGCTTCGAACTTGTGATGAATCAAGCTAAGAAACAGGTCACATGCAATGGTCCATATGGACAGGCTGGCAGCAATCACGAGCAAGCTCGTTGCGCCTGCATGCAGATGTTCTGTCAAAGCTCAAGGCCACGTTTTTCTGGACTGATGAGTTTGAATCACGGCCGGATGTGCTGGAGTTGCGTGAGACGAGATCCGCCAGCCTTTCCCGGAATTGGGGCGAAGACGACGACTTATTTCAACAGCAGCAGTTGCAAGCTCGGCGGATGCAACAGCCAGGACGGACACTGCGGAACAGCCAGAGCAATTTGTCATTTATCAGACTTCTGCAGCACGACCTATTGACGCTGTGCGGATGTTGGGCACAGGCAGATGGAGCTGGCTAGCGGCATCTTGCCTGGTCGTGTCGGCGACTGCCGGGGAATCGCCAAGATTCGTTCTCTCGGCAACACACGCAACTGGCCCTCCGTATGTGGGCACGGGCACGCTCAAGGTGCCGCCGGCGTGGTTAGCTGATCTTGTGGAGTTCGGCCACTGGCTTGGAACCAAAACGCCATGGTAGTTGATCTTTTTAGAGCTTGCCTTCTTTGGCAAGCAAACAGCAATGAAGCCAAACAATAAAGGGTCCGAATTTTGCCCCCCATCGGCCGCGGCTTTCTTTGGCAAGCAAGCCAAGCGCCCAATGTTTTTTTGGTTTTCCTGACTTGTGGCAAGCGCAGAGGATCCGAATTCCGACCCCCTAGAGGTTGTCCTTTTTCTGTGGCAAGCATTCGTCGTGCGCCTGCTTCCACCGCTGTTGTACTATCTCGCCAACACTAAAGGGGTGCAACTGCTCACTGGTAATATTACTATTACTGCTGCTGTTACTACTACTACTACTACTTTACTACTACTACTACTACTACTGCTGCTGCTACTACTACTACTACTACTTCTTCTACTTCTTCTAGCACTAGGGCCGCCAGCCACCGAGGGCTGATTTGCTGCAGCCAGCCCAAGCCGGGCTATTTCGCGATGGTCGCCCCTTGGCGACGCTGGCGATGGCTACGCAGCTGGCGACGATGCCGAATTTTGACCAGCCAGGCTCAGGGAATCGCTATAATCTTGAGAATCAGAATCAGTCAGAAGGCCACTGAACAACCACTTCCCAATCTTTTGAGGCTGGAATAGATCCCCATGTCATGGCTCGTCGTCCCGTAATTGACAAGGACAGGGCGTCGCTCACGGAGTCTACGGTGCAGTGGTGGCACGTTCGGCGCGCTCGAGTGAAAGCGGACGTCGAGGGCAATCAGGGCAGACTGCGGACGGCTGTCGAGGGCTGAGATTTTGCAATGCGTAGCTGCCGCCATGAGCAGCAAAAGCTTCGCAGCCAGGCCTGTGTCTGCAAAGAGGCATCAGAAGCACTTCACACAAGTGACAAGGTTATTGAATCCTTGGTTGATAGACAGCCGAGGCCTGGCAAGTTCAAAGCGCAATTTTGCCTTCTCTTCGCACAGACGCTTTGCGTATCACGGAGCAGCCGTTTGGCCGCGTCGCGTGCTCTGGAAAAGCGCGGTAGCTGAGCGGGGTGCTGCAGAAGCAATCTACCAGCGAAGCATGCTTGGGAGGCAGCGGGCGTCAATATCGCCGCGGGCGGCTAGCGTTGTATGCTGTGCGAATGTGAAAACCTTTCATGATTTATATTTTTCCACCTGTCTCCTTGCTTCTGGAGCTAGTGATCTATCTTTTTTGATCTGTTTTTGGCCGCAAACGCTGTCAACAACGTAGTCTATTTTGTTTTTGTGGTGTATCTTTCTTGCTGTCTTCCTACCCACCTATCTTTCTTTCTATCTAATTAGCGCCCAGTCCGTCTATAGAAAACTACTCGCTCAAACCTTACACACCCATCTATCGATCTATCTATCTATCTATCTATCTATCTATCTATCTACCGAATATTTTATAACTATCCATCCATCCAGCCAGCAATCCGCATCCGGCTGGAAAACCGCAAGTTGCAAGTGAGAAACTAGTACGTGAAGCTCCGGCTGGAAACTTGCAAGCTTCAAAGTGCACCAGCAGCGCGCAAAGCTGCCTGTTTTAACACGTGGCCTGTTGACCCGGAAGCAGGCTCAAGCATGACAGCAAAGTCACTTGCTAAGCTGCCCGGGGTCATACCGAATGCCTTAAAGAAGGTAGCAAATAAAGCCTTGAATGGCAATGTTTGAGTGGGAAATGCAGTAACCTGTTCTGGGCCAAGCCAGGCTGATCTCTGAATTCAGGCAGCGCCAAATTAGCTGGGTGTTGGAGGATCACTCGGTTGTGACGACGGGGCGCCAAAAGACGGCATGATGGATCTGCACAGATTATAGCGGCACTTGGCAGGCTAAAACAAGCTAATCCAATTTGTCCCAATCGGTCGAGGGCAAAAAAGCTCCCTTTTGTTTTGCCAGGTTCAGTCGGACAGGATGTGAGCTGTGCCTGGTCACTTGAAAATGGGCTCCAGGCGGAGAGGCGCATGAGGCGCACGAGGCGCACGGCTGTGGTCCGCTCGGGCACGACTTTGGTTTTGTGGAACACGGACTGCCGCTGGCCGCCGCTTTATGTTCAAAAAGCCTTCAGAAGAATATGTGGAAAGGCAAGACTACGAAGAGATGAAGGTGTTAGTCCACAGAACTTCACAGAAACCCTGCCCTCGCAGAACCCCAGTAGTGTTAGTGCAACGTTGTTCTTTATTGGGAGACCCTCGGTAGCCTCAGGGCCTCCTCTTACAGTGGGCACCACTCCGTTACCCTCTTGCGCATTGCCAATGAAGCAACTTGTTTTGGTTTCGGTCTGGTTGTTTAAGCATGCCCGGGATGCTGGTGGAACACACCCACATTGGAAGATTCTTTCGTAAAGGCACCCTAGATCGCTTTACCAACCCAGCACAGCCCTCCCGACCTTGTTGGGCATATTTGGTTGCTTTGGCACGCGGCGTGCAGGGAATGAGAAGAGAAGCAGGTGCTTCGCAAAGGGGCTGTTTTGTGTCCTTTGAGACCTTTTAAAGGCATCTGAAGGAAAATCCCCATTTGCCAACAAATCGGTACGGGGGGACTCGGCAAATACAGCCCAGACACGATGGCCCCGCAAAGGGAAAAGTACCAGGAGGCTGGCTTGTTTTTGTTCTTGCGCAATTGCTGGCACAATCATGTGTAAGTCGCTTGCCCCCAAATGTCACCTTGATCCAAACCAGGCTTAGGTGTGACTGTCATACCAAACAGGTAGGCGGAAACAGAAAAAGGAACACGAGGCCTTTTTCCCCCCACTGAATTCCAACAGCCTGTTCAAAGCAATTCGAGCAGGGTATGTCTGATCTATGAGCCCCAACAAATCATCACCTGAATTTCCAGGGCGTGTTGCACGTGTGAGTTTTGCTCTACCTTCCCCCCCCCCTCCAACCACTGGTCAACATGAGCTAAGTGTTACGCAAGCCTCGACTAATGGAGTGCAGGCCCTCATCCGAGCCCTGGCGCACATGCGTGAAACAGGTCCTTGCATATCTTCTCCTGTGTATCTCCTCCGTTTCTTTGGTATGAAATTGTAGTAAATGGCATCAGGATGTTCAGACCAACCTACCGAGCCAAGCTACATGGCTACTACGGAAAATACTACGGCTGTCGGATTGCCTGGGTGGAAGTAGGCCATAGCCATCGTTGCTCACCATCTTCGGGGTTCCCCGAAGATGCCGGCAACTGTCTGTCAGTTCATCCACGGCTCCGTGGAGGCGCAAGTTGGTCACAGAAAGGGGGGCAGAAGGATGAGAATGCTCGGAGTGTCACCTAAACTCATATATGGGGGTTGGTCAATATTCTGGCCCCCAAATGTTCATGGGTAACTGATGGTAACTGTTCCCATTTAGTGGGAAATATCAGCTTTTTATAGCTTACCCCAATGGTCATCCTATGTGAAGGACCTTTTCATCCCCCATATGTCCAGTAAATATGCATTTGCCATAGTGGCAGTTTCTTCAGGTAACAGATAGGGTAACTTGTCTATGGGGGGGGCCTTACTCGCAGGACACAATTATTTGACCTCAGTCGCTCAACATGAAGCGACCAATTTCGACCTTCGGGTTTTGACACCGTGAGTGGCACAATCCAGAAGCTAAGCCGGCCAAGCCCTGTGTGCAGCGCCCAAACTCCGATATGGCCATCGTAGTGAGGGGTTTTGCAGCTGTTTTGAAAAATGAGCCCTTCATAACCATCTTAGAACCAACATGTCAATGCGTGAAACGGGCGCTGCCCAGGTGTTTTGGAGGAAATCTGGTAGCCGATGTGCTTGGTTTGCTTTGGGTTTGCCATTCAAGCGCACCGGCTGGGATGTCACAGGTGGAGCCTCTTTCGGAGCAGTCCCTGGACAGCTTCAGATCGGTCATGGAGGAGAACTACGGAGCAGTTGGCTTGAGAACTGGGTAAGGGGCTGTGATTTTTGAGGGCACTTGTCGGGCTCGAGGGGAACTAAGGGAACGCACACAATTTGCGGGTCCTGCATTTTGACACATGCAACCGCAAGTGGTTGCCATACTGAACTGGTCCCTCTTAAATCTGAGCCACTTCAAGCGAATGTTTGGCTGGCTGGTTGCTTGCTTGCTTGCGTGCTAGCTTTGTTGCTCGCTTGCTCGTTGGATGGTTGGTTGGTTGGTTGGTTGGCTGGCTGGCTGGCTGGCTGGCTGGTTGGTTGGTTGGTTGGTTGGTTGGTTGGTTGGTTGGTTCGTTGGTTCGTTGGTTCGTTGGTTCGTTGTTTCGTTGGTTCGTTGGTTCGTCAGTCCGTTGGTTCGTTGGTTCGTTTGTTTGCTTCTTGGACCACTGCTTGGTTTGTTTTTGCTTGGTTGCTTGGTTCATGAGACGGTAGGTAGCCCTTGTAGCCCTTGTAAACCACCAAGCCTCTGGCATTTGAAAGGTTTTCCATGAAAATCCACTGAGACGTTGTGAACATAAGAACCCCTTCAGCATCCCTTGCTTGAAAGGCGGCACCTGGGGCCCGAAACGGGGCCATGCTGTGCCAACTGTGGATGGACAAAATCCTGCACCAGCTCGCATGCATGACGCCCAACAAGTGCTGGTTGCTAAGCCACAAAATCCGAACTGATGCCTGACGGAGGGTGTTCGCAGTATGTTTCACAAATGTGTTTGACAAAGTGGGGAGCTGTTTGTCAGAAACCCGGTGAACGTGGGTGCAATTTATTGTACTTACTTGGTGGTTCCCAGCCATCCCCTTAGTTTTTTAGCCTTTTGGTGTTTAGTGGGGATTTCCAGTTAACCCACTCACAGTTAAACTTTTAGCGGGGATCTGAGCGCAGCCCAGTTTAGGCAAGGGAAACGGCGAGCTTCGAGTCGGCGCTTCGCATTGCAGGAGATTCGTGGCCACGTCTTCGGGGAGCTCTTCCCGGGGCTGAACCAGGCGCCGTTTGGACTGGGAGCCCCGGAAGTGAAACGTGTTGAATGTTTGTCAAGGGGCAACCTGGCGTCAAGATGTTGACTCTCGAAATTTACACCCTTCAGAGTGTCTACTCGCCTTTTTTCCCCAACAGCTCGCCAGCCGCTACTTTGTTCTCAAGTTTCTCGCGCGAATCTGGGCTTGTTATATTCGCTTGGTGGTTTCATCTCAAAATAGGGATCCCCTTTGGGTGCCTGGGATGCGGAATTTGAGATCCTGGTTGTCCAGGCGAGTCGCGGAAACCTGTTGGGCACCTGTCAAAGCGCGGACTTCCCCGAAAAACAAGAAGCAAACAAGCTGTATATATATGTATATATGTATATGTATATATGGCGGTTTTCCTTGGGCTTCCCTGGAAACCAGCCTGAAAAGGGAAATTGCCGTCCAGAAACGAAGCCATCTGCCAGGCTGCCTGGCCCAACAGTGCCAACATCAACCTCTACCGGGATGGCCGTCAGGGCGTAGGCCCGAGAGCGTTTTCGGATAGCTCACCCAGAGGGACTAGCCTGGGATATGACCTGCAAGCTTCTGGACTTAGAACCCAGATCCGGACTTGGCCTCAGTTTTTCTGTGCAAATTTTTGAAGCTCTGCTGTTGTTCAACCGGTGGTGACCCGGTATCATGTGGTTTTGTTTTGTTTATGTTTTGGTGTGGATTTGGTCCAGGCTCTTGATGTCTTGCATGTTGCTCCAGAGAAAGCGCGATTTTGTTTTTAACATTTGACTTTTAGAGGCTGCAAATGGAATAGTGCCAGAGCAGCCAGTGTGGCCTTGGCTTGGGCCAAGACCCAAATGTGGTGACTCGTGATGCCTTTCGAAAGGCAGCGCCCTGCAAGAGATGCAAGAAGTTCCCTACTCAAAGCTCGAAGATTTGGCTGAAGCCGAATTCTCTAGTATTGACTTGGCTTGCGATGGGTTTGCATAAGCATTGCCAAGATTTGACTGACTTTGCATGGCCTCGGTTGGAGGAGTTGCCTCCAGTTTCTGGAGTTGCGCCAAGTCGGGCCAACACCGTCGGCTCGGATTTGAGAAAGGCCAACTGGCCGGAGTCATGTCATGCCATGAATAGTCCTACAAGAGAGGAACCCAATTCGGAAACTGCCGCAGTTTGCAGCTGCGTTACTTGGAACTGTTCGAGGAATTAAGACGTACCCTTGGTTTGCACTCGCTACGTGCCCAGGCTTTGCTTTGCAGCCGGGCCCCCTCCCACCAAGAAACCGTTCTGGGTAGATCCTAGGGTGCCACCGCCAGGCTGGCACGCGGACGATGAGCTGCTCTTCCGCGGCAAGGAAGGGTAAAGCTGTCAGAGACGTTGGGTTCCCTTGCAGGTATGGTTGGGCCATCTGTTTGAAAGCCAAGATTGTTTGAACATCTTCAGTTTCGGTTTTCCTTTGCAGTGGTCCATGGCCCTGCCAAACCATCCTGGAGGCTTTACCGTTTTGGCCCTACGCCTTAATCTGTGGTTTGGATTCGTGGAGGCAAGGGACCTCCCCCACGGTTTCAACAGGGATTGAGGCTCAAATGTCCAATCCCTAAGCCAATACACAGTCCCCTGATTAACTTTGCAACATGCCTCCAATGGCGTCAAGAGCCAATCCAAAGCACCAAGCAAGTGTTGCATGACTCAATTTTGCAACAGGGTGTTCCTTTTGACCCTGTTGTTGAATAACAACACACACCAAGACGACTACACGTGTAGGGTTCGAGCCCTTCGTTTCCTGGATGGGCCTCCAGAAATATTTGCAAAACCTTTCAATCAGCACCCCCTTTGAGAAGGATCCAGGTCCTTTGGTTGTTTGCAAGCCAGCCATGTGACAATGAGATGTTGGCAATCATTGGTGCCATGTTTAAAGCAACGCAGCAGGGCCGCACATGGAGACATATGTATGCACATGTGCATCTAGAAAGGACTGGTCACTTCACAGAAAAAGGTTATTGCTCAAAGCTATGCTGGGAGCCAATGAAAACCAGAGTGCCGACCTTGAGGCCCCTGTTTGAGGCAGCGTGTTTTTTTTTTTTGTGCTTGAGGGAGCAAACCAACATCTCCACAAGTGTAGGACTCATTTTTGCACGGCCCAAGTGCAAAGCCTGGAGTAGATCAGCATGTCCTTGTTTACTCGCGTGCTCGACAGCTCTGAACCCGCCCATTCTTCAAGGCTATTTGCAGGTATGGGCTTTGGAGGTACGGAGGCGCATATACATTATATAGAGATATGCGATTTTTCCCTAGGTATGACTTCATAACCCACCAGTGAAAGCTGTTCCTCCGTTCAAGTGGTACAGGACCTCCACACCCCCAGACCCTTACCTGAAGATGCTTTTGACCTTTGCAGGATTCGGATTGCCCGGTGGTCAGCATCTCCCTCGGGGCGGCCAGAGAGTCCTGGCCCCAGTTCTGAAACCATGGGACGATCCCGGCGCATGGACTTGTGGACCAGGTGCGGCCCGAACTCAAGACTTGCTGAGCGTTAAGCCTGGTTTGCTCGTGAAGGCTGGCTGTCCTGAATCATCGCACGAATTTCGGCGAGAGGTTGGCTCGCGCAATTTGAAAGTGTGATCCGCGGCCACGCCTTCTCAAGGTCCAGGACTGTCCAGCGGATTCCAGCTGGAAAGAGTTCCCTAATTGTCGGCCTGGTATATTTAAGCGGTGGATCGATGGATCCATTCGTAAGTTCTCAATCAGAGAAGGATTCCTTCAGCAATGGGACACTCACCCTATTGATCTACCACTGGTGGAATGAAAGAGCACTTAGGATGTTTGAAGCTTGTGGAAGCTGTATGTTTGTGCATGTTCTGTCATGACGGCCGATGGGTTATGGGTTAGCGCGGGCGCGGGCGCGGGCGTGGGTGTGTTTGTGCACACGTGCCGGCATAGGGGGCGTGCATGCAGATGCCTCATCCCCCGAGCTGGATTGGATGCAACCCAGAAGAAACTAGCGGCTGCCATGGGCTATATTTGGCCCGAATTCGCCACAATGTGGCCCCCCCCTCACCCCCCCCCCCCAATTACAAGTTGGTGTATAAACAATCTGACCATAGTCATATCCACCATATTTAGACCAAACTATCTATTTAGTGGGCACCACCCCGTATTGTTTCATCATAGTTAATAATAGTTGTCAATAATTGTCGAGAACTGCGATTTACATGGGTCTCATTCTGGTAGACACAATTCAGTTATTGGTGTCAGTATGGCTTTTACTAGGTTCGTGGGTGTTGTCCTAATACGCGATGGAAATAGTTTCTAACCCACCAGTAGGATGAGTTGGGATCGGTGAACTTTTCGTCGCTCATGTGTTTACCAAACATTAGCAACAACACACTGATATTGCTGGGAATATGTTCCATGAAGCTCAAGTGCGAAGCTTTATTTATTATGATTAGTATATTCCTTTGAATATCCGGAGTGTTTCCCTATGAAACAGTACAAGAATTGGTACTGTCCCATGGAATGGGGATGTTGGAACATCTTGGACATCACCGCATGGTGGCAAATGAGCAGGGCCAGAATCTCTCGTTGGTTGATGATCATAAGGGATGACTATGTTTTCAATGTTCGAGTAGGATAGAATTCAATCCGTGTCAGAAAACCCGCAAATCGCATGGTTTTTCAGCACCGCTCATATGACAACCCAAAACCCTATGGGTTGAGAATCATTTGAGCAATGTCAAACAACTCATGTGTGGTTGATAGCTATCATGGGTTGTCACCCGGTTTGGTATGATTCGCATAACCCATTATTGGATTGACAAACGGCGAATAACCGCTATAACAGGCGTACACAAAGGTGTTTGACACCGCTAATTTGTGCTTGATCATGGTTCGAAACAATAGTAAGCTTTATTGGTTGGTACTACGTAGTTGGTGATGGTGGACGTGTGAATTGGATGTTGAAGTCTGGATGAATTACCAAGTTTTTGATCAAACTCGTTAGATGGTTGTGTTGTTTGTTTGGTTGGACTTGATCGATCGTTCAGGTTTCAAAGTTTAGCGTGGAACCTGACAGTTGTGGAATTTATGACTATGGTTCTTTTCCAAGGGCTTATGTTTGGGTTCCGTGTTGAGTGCATGGGGATAAATGGTTAAGATCATTTCTTCGTATGTAGCGTTCATAACGTGGAATATAGTCAACCAAGTACCTCTATGATGATGGTTGTCCAGTGTGGGATGGTAGTGACTGTCTACTTGTTTGAACTATTTGCTGTGTTTTATCTATGGTGATGGCCATAGTTTCTAGTGGTTGGTTGTGAAATCTGAATTATGATATCGTGTTTAGTGGGTACATTCTCGGAATCCTTTGGCACACCAACCATGAAATAAGGGATCCAAAACGGTGTTGAAACCGCTCACATGTTCGATCCGGCACAACCGGACAATCCATGAAATTGAAGAACAACCGGATTTAACACTTAGATTGGGGGTGTGCCTATCCTCCATCCTCCCGCCCAGTCTTTTTTTCATAACAAAATATTCAATTTGGTCATCCTTATCAGTCATCAATTATGAGGCCGGGTTGGATGGGGAAGAAGGATAGGATGCGGGACAGATTCAGAGCTTGATCTGGATGATGTCAACCAAAGAGATGTTGAAGGGGCAAGTGTGGTGACTTTAACAAGAAGTATCCAACTTTCTGGGTAACCCTTGGTGGCGAAGGATTACCCTTGCAATGTGTTGCCATCGAAGGATTTTGAATGACTTGCCACCAGGGTATCAAAATTGGCCAGGCTGGAAAGCAAGATTATTTGGACATGCCGCTATACAACCAGGCCTCTCAGCAAGGCGTCGATCTGAAAGATCAAGTTCCATGTTTGCAGAGTCCATTCGGCTTAAAATCGCCAAGCAAGTTGCTTTTTCCCATGGTCATGGCTTAATCTGGCTTGAAGCACCCCGCAACTCCGTTCAACATATTTAAGCCCTTATACTACCCTGAGCTTGGGGGACGGCCATTTCTCCCACCGTATGTTCCCTTGATCCAACTTCTCCATGCGCAAGGATTCCACGAGCAATCCTTTCGATTTGCTAAGCTGGGGATCCCCAGCTTCATTTCAACCCCAAAGCGCGCCCTGAGGAACAGCGAGTAGAAGGGGGATGGAGGAAGCTATGGCAATGCCAATGAATTCAATTCAAAACACCCTCAGAAATGGATGGGCATAGTTCCCCATGTCTCATGTACAAGAGGTCCATCCGATGAAACAATACCCACCTTGGAATTTTGACCATAGCTGCATAATGTTCCAGCATGTTCCCCTTTCCGCTTGGTGGGTTTACCACATTTCCTCGCTACACGTGGCCAAGCTCCAAGAATCTTCTTCTTGTCCCTTGTGCCAGGGCAGGTTCCCCTGCATGGTCAACCCCTCTTCTGCCGTGCAACCTTGATGTGGATCTCGCTTTCTCCCGGCAGGGGTTACATGGGGGTGGGTCAAAATTAAAGCAGCCGGGGACCGCAGGTTTTAGTTCTTGTTTCCATTTACCAGGATTCCATGTTGGGCACCCTATTTTTGACCCACACCCACATGTGTGAGACAGACGATTTTAAGGTTCTGGATCGCCCTGAAGGATCAGAACGGGTCTGCCAGGTCCTTAGCCCCCACCCGCCCTCCCAAAATGCAAAAAACTTCTCGACCAAAACATCGAATCAAGAGGACGTGCACCATCCCCAAACCACTGCCCAAGGGAAATGACGTATGGAGCCTCGACATGCTGCCTATGTAGTATCATACTCCCTTTTGCCGTTGATAGTGGAAGCTCTCTGGGAATGCCTTCTGGCCCTTTTAGTGGCAGCCCTGTTGAAGTGATTCCCTGAACTTTGGCCGTACCACTTGGCTCTCTCATGGCGTAGAACTCCGCGTTGAGTGGGACTCGAAACGGGGTTTTGGGCTTTCGTGTATCTCGGCCAACCTTGCACTTGCTTGGCCGCCTAACTGGACAAAACATGATGGCCTGAAATCGGGGGCCATGTCGGTTGGGAATGGTGCATCAAGGTGCGCCAGGCAAGGCAGAACGCTAAACAGGGCTCCTTGTAACATTGTGCAATTCTGAGACATCTGGTTGGAGGAGGGGATGGCGTGGCGAGAGTGAGAGAGAGAGAGAGAAAGAGAAACTGAGAGGAAAAGAACAAGATGCAATCGAGCAAATCAAAATTGGAAAGACAAACATTGCGCAAGACTGTTTTGCGGTACGCCAAGCTTCTTCCAGGTGTTTGACGGATAGCCTTGCTTTGCTGCAGCTACTGGACAGGCCATGAAAGAGCACTAGGCCAGGTAGAGCCATCAGACGGGCATCATGTTCACCGTCGATCAATACACGCCTTGTTGTGATTTGCTCTGGCTCATGCAACCATTGAGAAACTTGGGATGACGAAAGTGCATTGCGTGTTCAATCCTGTTAAGCCGCAAGTTTAACACGGAAGCCCCAACACAATGTTTGTAAGTTTACTGGGTTCCTTATTGTGTCTGTTCTGGGGATTATCAAAGTCAGAACATGGGCTTGTTTCCTTTGAAAGCAACCACTTAGGGGCTGACTTGGATCATGGAACAAACTTGGGATCCAGATAAACATGCTTCCGCCCGGCGCACAGTTTGGCCCAAGCACAGTGACACTGGCCTTTAGAAAACTCAAAAAGTCTCACGGGCCCCGATCCGGATCATTGGAAACAAAGCCCTTGCTCCAAACAACACTTTAGAACTTAGACCACTTGTTCACATGTTGTGTTGTTGCGTTGTTTTGTTTTAGCAGTTGCTGCTTGCCCCCCCCCCCCCCACCAAAAAAAAGAGAGGAGAAAAACAAGAAACCACATAAAAAAGCGACTGTTGAAACATGTGCAAGCCGCAAACCCTGGGATAGTGGTAAGCCGAGAGTGGGCTTCAAGCTGCCGCGCCGCAGCTAGTTGACCGGGGTTCACCGCGGGCAAAGCTAGCCGCTGAGAATGCTTCCGGACCGAAAATAGAACCGGTGTCTCTCTCTCTCTCTATATATATATATATGTATTCATACTATATAGATAGATGGTTACCCTTCAGGATCGTCCATGGCAATGTGCTTGGTCATTTGGAGGCGGTGTCTTTTCCCCTCCCCGTGGCGGCATTCGACGCCTCCCCGTTTTTGCTGCAGCACGAGAATTTTCCGCAGCATCGAATCAGCGAGCGGCGTTCATGTCACAGGGCCCCCATGAATCTCTCCTTCAACAGTTGCCGTCACTTTTTTATCCTCCTGGAAACCCTGGAGACGGTGCCAGCCGAGTTTCCCGGGCCGCGAATTCACTTGGGACCGGGCGAGCGCTTGGACGCGGCCATGGATTTGGACGATCGCCTGGCGGAAGTCCTGCGGGACCTGCAGTGCCTGCGCCAGGCGCCGACGCGCGTGGCGAAGGGAATAACGAAGGGACCGGGGTGAAAGTGTTCTAAAGTTGGGAGGGGGGGAGGGTGACCCACCTAAGCACAAGGGACGGCCTTAACATGGTTCCTTCTAAATCGTGGCTCGAAGGGAACCCACCAACCGCCACTGGGTCAACGTTGGTGCCATACATCTCTTAAAATGATGGTAGACAAGAAATCCATCCTCGGTTGAATGCTGACCAAGGGCACCCAAACTAATTTGAGCAGTTCGCAAAATGAGGGCCAACTTGACACGCCTTTTTGTTGAGGCTCGGCACCCCGTTCTGTGTCTACAGGGGAACCAAGCAATTTGTTTTATCTATCTTGTTTTGGGAGGGGGTGCCCCTTTTTGAGACATACCCAAGTAGCAAACAGACAGTATGTTGGTAGCTTTGATTTCCCAATTTCGGGAACAGCGGGGATTTGGAATTACTGTACAATTGCAGATGATATAAGGCTCCCATTAATCACTTTCGCTTTCGATGTCTCCAAGGATGGGAAACAGCGGCGCCGGAAAAACAACAACCAGGACCACAGCTTTAAAATTTTGGACTGGACCCTTAAAGAGGGTGCCGGCAAGCGGCAAATGTACAGGGGCAAAGACCCACCTGCCGCAAAAGGATTCGGATCCTCTAATTCAGCTCGAGCGACTATGTTTTAGCTGGCCGGAATGTGGATGCCCTGAGGAGTTCTCGAGAGTACTCCTGAGATCCAGCATGGTTTCGCGTTCAACCACCAGCAACGAGGGCTTTGAGGATGTCACTTTGGACTTTGTAGGTCCTATCGGTGAGCAAGAGAGGCCCTTTTTGATGTTCACCGTGGTTGCCCTCGATGTAGGTTCCCATTGTTTCCCTGGGTGGGAACCTTGGAGGATGGCACAGCGCCAGGGGGCCCGGGGATTTCCACGTTTCGCGACGCCTGATGCATGTGGGACCTCCCTGGAAACAGAGCAGCCACCGCCTGAAGCCTGGTCTCAATCCAAAGCGCGCGCCCGGTTGCCGCCCCTCCCGGTCGCCACATTGGAAGTGAGCATCCTAAGCGACAGGGACAGGGATGTGGTTTTCAATACTTAAAAGGCGGGAGTTTGTTTTTCTTTTCTTTCTTGTCTTGTCCAGAAGGAAGCCAAACTGGGATGATATTTTTTCGCAGACGCCAACAAAAGACTGGTGTTGGTCAACCCTTTGGGTTCCCAATGTTTTGGAAGCAGAGCTGTAAAACTACATCCCCGGCCCTGAGCCGAAATGGGACGGACTTGTCACAGTCCGGCTCCCCGAAATCCGAGTCGCCAGGCGAATCGGAAGCTGGACCAGGTCCTGAAAGCGCGCATGGGCTGTGAGGCGCCTTGGGGCAACTTGGGGGTCCCCGTTTCTTGGGCTACTGATGTCGTTCCAGGTGGCTCAAAATTGGGGCCCGAAATGGAAGCGTGGGAAATGGACTAAGTAGAGTAGACGAAAATTTGCAGTTTTCAGGGTCTCTTTTTTTTGAGCCATCCTTGTTTCTAGGTTCTCAAGCTGAGAAACTTGGGCTGTTTCCCTTGAACCTAGGGTATGTGCCATTGGGGCTTTATGTCGAAGGGCGACCGGAGAGACGAGTGAAATTGCACGAATCAGCGGCCCACTCGAAGCGTACCCATGTTTGGTGTGTGTAGTTCTGTTGGGGAAAGGTGTCCAAGCAAAGCTTTTGCGGGGTTCTCAAAACTATTGGGGGTCAATTGGGGAGTTGTTTCCCTTGCATTAGCTCGGGTAATTTTGAGGATGTCACATCCAAACGGACCCAGTTGTGCAAGCCAGGGTAGTGCTTTGTACACCTGTCGGAAAAAGCGCATGGCCGGCCTACCTACAATTGCAGCTTCGCTCTTGAAGGTATGCCGGAGTTCCGACATTCCCCAAACTACAGGTGGCAGGTGTCCAACATCGCCTTTTGCAATTTTGCTGTAAGTTGCCCTTCAGTAAGGTGGAGATGCTTCAGGTGTTTCAGGGGCACGTCTAGGCAACGGCTGCTAACCAGTGCCGTTGGTGCGCTTATCCACGTGCTCTCTCAACCCAAGCCGGTCTCCAGAGTCCAAGCTTTGGGGGCAGTGCCACGGCCCAGGTCGACCTTGAGGCCGAAGGGAAAGAGCTTTTTGAGTTGAAGGAGGCGCGAAGAGTTGCTGGGATCTTGGCAGGTTCATGGAGGGCTTCCATCAACCAGGGCACATCTAAAGCCACCTTTGCAAGGGGATCTTTTAAATCAGCAGGTGAAAGTTGTATCCATTTTAGTTGCCCCCCAACCGTCAATGATAGCAACAACTGCAAAAGAGACAAGCATAGTAGCGAGCAGCAAGCCCCAACAACCAAGAACACACCCGATTCAATATGCAAGCAACAAAGGTACAAGCCTTGAATTGAAAGAAGCAGCGCTGCGCAACCGTCAAGCTGCAGGCTCATACGCCGCAGCACACCCCATCAGCAACGCAGCAATGTAGAAGGTTTGTTGCAAGTTGTGCAGTGCACGAACCAGAAACTCAATATGGCAAATGCGGGTACGACAAAGCGAATGCGTAGCGCAACACGCATAATCGCCATCAACATTCAAAGCTTTAATTACGGAGGCAAGCGAGTAATAATAGTGTCAACCAGCAACGATCATGATACAACCACTACTGTAGTCATCAGAAGATTAACCTGGAACTCAACTGAGAGTGTTTGCTGAAAACCCTCTTCAACAAATGGCTGTGTCCAGGTGTTGCTTGCTTGCTCTTGCTTCCCCCCCTCAATAAACGAGTCCCAAGGCCGCACAAAGTACCTACAGCGGCTTGCGCGCTCATTCATTTGGGCAGATCATACCGGCGTTACGCAGAGGGATCGTGGCCTGGCCCAAAATCAATGTTTGTTTCCGGTAGGCACCTGATTGAATTTGGGTTGCTGATGTGTTTAAGGCTCAGAACAGTCATCACCTTGTCACTGGGTCGCCCTTTCCTCACTTGCCATGGGCTTCACATTGTCTTCCCTCAGGCATTCAGCCTCAATATGCAACTGGTCTGAATCTGATTGCTTTGCCTGGCTGTCAGAAACTGGGCCCTGCAGCAGGGTTGTTCCCATGGGTTGCCCAAGGGTTTCCCATTAACCTGATGAACCATTTGAGAACTTGTGTTGCTCATGGGTTCCTGTTTCAACCAGGTTCCTGTATTTCAACCACGGTTGGTCCATCCCAGCTTAG